TAGCTCCAAAATGACCTACGGACCTCCGAATTCACTTCCGATCGCGCTCCCGACTCCAGAATCACCATATGGAGATGCTCCTAGACTCGAAATCCCAAACGAACATTGATATCACTGAAATGCACGTCAACCCAAACTTATAAAATTTCTTTCAAAATGCTACTTTCCACAATAGGCGCCAAAACGCTCCGGGTCATCCAAAACCCGATCCGGGCATACGCCCAAGTCCGAAATTATCATACGAACCTGCTGGAACCTTCAGATCCTGATTCCGAGGTCGTTTACTCAAAATTCTAATCCTAGTTAATTCTTTCAACTTTAAACTTCCGAAATGAGAATTCACTTTCCAAATCAACTCTGAACTTTCCGAAACTTAATTCTGACCACGCATACAAGTCATAATACCTGAAATGAAGCTGTTTATGATATCAGACTACTGAACGACGTGCTAGAGCTCAAAACGACCGGTCGGATCGTTACACAAAATTCTTCTCTGTCACAGAGATGAAGGAAAAAGAAAAGAAAAGAGAGAAATAGAAGAAGAAGTTGAAATTGCTGAAAAATGAAAGAATTATAGGCTTGAAATCGAAAAGCTAACTGAAAGAAAGAACGAAAATGGAAGATGCCAACCATTGAAAATGAGAGGAAATGAAAAAAAAAGGTTTTAAATGATAAAAAAGAGGAAATGAGGCGCGCGCAAAACACTTTCGGATGCTTGTTTGGTTGTTCATGCCACATCAGCAACAGGGTGGAATTAATTACACTGAGAAATAGTTTATGGGTAATAGGACCCCCGAAAAGAAAAGATGTGTAATTGGTAATATGGTCATAGGTTGGGGAGGATTTTATGCATTAACCCAAAATAAAATAATATCATCTGCAAAGGCTAACTGGTTCACCTGTGGCCCATGTCTTTCCATATAGAAACCTGAGTACCTCCGCCGATTTTGAAGGTTATTCAACATCACTGAAAGAAGCTCTGCACTCAATACAAATAGTGAAGGTGAGACAGGGTCACCTTGCCGCAGTCCATTATGTGATTTGAAGAAACCCAAATCTTTGACCATTAACTATCAGAGAGTACCAATTGCTTGAAATTTGTGTTTGTATTAGCTCCACCCATTTGTTTGAGAACCCCAATTTCTTCATTAGACTACACAGGTAAGACCAGTCGATCTTATCGTAATCCTTGCCATGTCAAGTTTTAGTACTACATCCCTCCTTTCTTTGGTCTAGATATATCCCTGATGATCTCTTGTGCTAGTAGTATATTTTCAAAAATCTCTTGTGCTAGTAGTATATTTTCAAAAATCAATCTCCTTCTAATGAATCCTGATTGATTATTGGAGACTATTTTTGGTAAGATTCGTGTCAGTCGAGCATTTAACATCTTTGCAAATATCTTACTCGAAACATTACATAGGCTAATTGGCCTAAGTTCTAATAGTTTCTGGGGGAACTCCACCTTTGGAATCATTTCTAGGCAAGTGTGTGTAAAGGATCTCGGGATAGAGGCCCCTTGAAAGAAGAACACCACTGCATTGTATACATCTTACGCAATAACTTTCCAGTATTTTTGATAGAAAAGGGCATTTAATCCATCTGGGCCTAGGGAACTTTCTGTACTAATGAAGAAGACACAATATTCGACTTCCTCCAGTGTTGGAATTGCTGTCAGCATTTCATTATCCTCCTCTGTGACTCTTGGTGTTTAACAATCCAACGCAGACATATCATCTGATGCTTCATTATGGTTAAATATTCCTTGAAAATGTTCTATTGTTGCTGTGGCAATATCTTGTTCACCTATTCTTCATTCTCCATTATGATCCTGAATTTTGAATGTTGAGTTGTTTCCTTCTTCCTTTTATTACACCATGAAAGTGTGCAGTATTCTTATCTCCATCCTTCAACCAATTTGCTTTCGTTTTTTGTCTCAGGACTGCATCCTGAAGTTTTAAATACTGATAGCACTTTGCTTTCAACTTATTTAGGTCCGACCTTCTCTCGGCTATGTTATTTAATGTCAGATCTTCCTCGGGATTCTCAATTTCTTTTTCTAGTTTCTTAGGCTCCTCATATATATCTCCAAATGCTTCCCTGGACCAGCAACTCAATCTATGGCAGACCTTCCTTAATTTCTAATAAGGATCCACATAGGGTTACCTTTTATATGTTCCTGTCACACTTCTTGAACTACCTTGATGAAATCTTCATGCTCTGTCCAAACATCTAGGAATTTGAAGTATCTTGGTCCAGTAGTATCTGATGTCTTCATGTTGATTAGTAGAGGTGCATGGTCTGAACAAACTCTTGCTAGATGTGTGACAGATGTTTTATTTGGTGTATCTGCCCACCTTGAGTTTATAAGAAGTCTATCCAATCTTTTCCATATTGTATTGGTTGGTCCCCTGCTGTCACACCTGAATGTTGCACGACAGAAGTTTTTACTAGAAACTCCTAATCTCAAGAAATTAGGTGTTCCTCGAAAAGTAGATGCACTTCTAGAGTCCAGTAAGGACGGGTCCAGTTCTGGTTTGTTCAGCAACATAGGAAAGTTAGATTGCCTCGAAAAGCTGAAGTTGGTAAATGATACTCATCTAAGTAGAAAACAGCTACACCTTCCTCCGCATATATCTTTTCTCATAAGCTAAAAAAGCTCACTCTGATAGATACGTGGTTCGAATGGAAGATATGTCTATATTAGGCCTATTAGAGTACCTTGAAGTGCTGAAGTTGAAAGAAAATGTGTTTAGGGGACAGTCAGTATTATCCCACACCGTAGGGTCTGGAGAGGGCAGTGTGTATGCAGACCTTACCTCTACCTTGTGAGCATAGAGAGGTTGTTTCCAATAGACCCTCGGCCCTGAAAAGCATGAGCACCACATTAATAAAAAATATAGACAAGAAGGGACAGTACCAAAAAGCCATATAAAAGCAGAATAAAAACAACAAGATAGTAATGTGATCAACAAAACTACAAAGAGCTTATAAACATGTTTTAGATATCAGTTCTACACTGCATTCTATGGCCCCATTTGGCCATGAGTTTTGCCAAAATAAATTTGGGATTTATTTCCAAAACTCATGTTTGGCCATAAATTTTACCCAAATTCCAAATCTCAAATCTCAAATCCCAAAATCAGCTATTGAGTTGATTTTGGGCCAAAATCCCAAAACTTGGATATTATATACATGTTTTTCCAAAATAAAGTTAGAAAATATGTTTTGAAAACGTCTGTCCAAACACATTTTCATCTTCAAACCAAACTTCATCCAAATCAGGATTTTCAAAATAAATTGGAATCTATGGCCAAACGCTAGCTATATATTAGTTCAACTATTATGCAGAAAATATAATCTAACTGCTCAAGTACATTCATCTTGGTGCTATATTAGGCTCCAAACACCTGTAATCAACTTTCCAACTTACAGTATGACAATATTCTTAATTGTTTCTAGCTTTTAATGTATTATATTTACAAATTAAAATACACACCAAAAGATTTTCGTCAACAACAACAACAACCGAATAAAATTCCATAAATGGGGTCTGGGGAGGATACTATGTACATAAATCTTACCTCTACCCGAGGGAGTAGAGAGACTATTTTTGATAGACCCTCGACAAAAGATTCAATTATCTTTCAAATTCCTACTTTTGTATCCTTTAGCGAGCAATTTTATATATTCATTGTACGGTAATGGTAGCAGAAATAGCACTTTGGATGACTTAACACTATTTTGACTGCTGGTTGACCTAATAATTTAAGTGAGCGTTGAGTGTATGTTTTCACAATGAGTGGAAAGCAAGGGCGTCTAGATATATTCTTTTTAATCCTCTGACGAATTCGTTGTAGTATGTATTTTTCTTTGATTTTCTTCTTCTTTAAATCTTTTTGTTTTTTCCCCTCTGATGTACATAGATGAATTGCTGCGCATAACAGTAAGGGGTCGTTTGGTAGGGTGTATAAGAATAGTGTGGAATAAAGTGTATTAGTAATGCATGTGTTAGTAATGCAAGCATTAGTTATGCAAACATTAGTTATGCAAATATTATTTCTTATCAATTGTTTAGTGTGATGTATTAAAATTATAATGCATTGCATAATTTTTAAGAAAAATAGTTGCTTACAAAAATGGCCCTCCATATTCTCTAAATGGGACTTTAAGGACAATTTTGTCTTTAACCATGCTAATGCATGCATTAAAGCCTTGGTATTACTAATGCCATGGCTTTCTATGCATTACTTGTGCATAGGATAATGCCAAGTATGATGTATAACTAATACAAGTATTAGTTATCCACAAGTTAAAAATATGTACCAAACAAGGTATTAGTAATGCATAGAACTAATGCTTGCATTATTTTTTCTAATACCTCCTAGCAAACGACCCCTAAAAGTTACTTATTTGTTTTTCTAGTTGACAATAATTATAGAAGAATCTACTGCGAACAAGATACATGATTCTACTCTGATCTCTAGTTTTTTTGTTCCTCCTTGGCTCCTAAATAGTATCACAAGAAGTTTCAGAAGTGCATAACAAGCCACAAGAAGTTTCAGAAAATAGCATATAGTTTATATTAGTTCTTTTATGAGACAAGTCTGAATGTGTAGGAATGTTTTTAGAATGAGAAATCCCATAAAAAGAAGAAAAAAAATTCCATCATAGTTCCAATGCCCAAAAACACTACTTGATCATAGTTAAACAATATTATCCCTCTATTTTAAAATAGGTGTTCATTCCATATACAAGTCATACAAATGGAGTAACAGGGTGAGGTGTTGCATTGTAGAACTAAATGGTTCTGGATATTTTTGGATGTTATAGCGAATTGCTGTTATATAAAAAAAATATTATAATAGCACATGAGATTTGATTCCGGAAAATTTTAGCTTTTATAGAGAAGTGCTATTATATAAGGATGCTATTATAAAGAGGTCTGACTGTACATTGTTCATCCATCTTCAACCAATTTAGACCTATAGGGAAGCAAATGAAGTAGTAATAATAAATTTGAAGATAACCACAATTCATCTCTGATATTACACATGCCAAATAATATTCATAGCTGTTTATCTGGTTGAAGCAACATGTCTTTCAAGCTGGTACCCATGCTTAAGCAGAGAAAACAACAGTAAAGCAAATAAATACATCACAACAAACTGGATAGACAGAGCTGTTTTTATCATTCAGAAAGAAAACAACCACATAATTGAGAACTTGAAAAGGTGTGAAGCCTAGAAAAGGTGTTTAAAGCAGAAAGTGGAGCTCATATAATTTACGCCTTCAGAACAATAAAACACAAACGGGATTTTTATTGGAACAGGCTGATAGGACGAATAGCCTGCAGAAAACATGAAATGCGGCTGACTCCATATGAAAGATCATTCGACTTGTCTATGATCGCAGGCTCGCATAAGTGCCATTCCACTGACTCCCTCCTGCAAAAAGATGAAAACAATTAGAAGAAAATTAGTGAAATCTAGAAAGAAACAATGTTGCAGATAAGTTTCTTTGGAATCTTTTTGGGGTGTGGCAATAAAAAGGGCAGCCCGGTGCACTAAGCTTCCGCTATGCGCAGGATCGGGGAAAGGCCGGACTACAAGGGTCTATCATACGCAGCCTTACCCTGCATTTCTGCAAGAGGCTGTTAAATGACTAAATTAATCACAGTACTCCAGCTGGTAACAATAAAAGTCAACTAAAGTTAGAACTGGAGTTGGCTAACATACATGGAAAGAACTGAATGATTATTATGACAATGTTGGACTGACAATTACGCACAAGTCAACGTTAGAGAAAAATGCAAGGCAAGAAATGTAAGGGAAATAAATTACTTAATTATGAAACCTCCAGTCTCTGAAGAACGAATAATCACGTAAAATATAGAAACACAGGACATTCTACCAAATAGAAGTCATGGCATGCAAAACAATCTTACTAAAATCTCTCAGACAATGGAAAAATCAAGATGTGAATACAGTCATGTCGACAAACACTTAGTAAAAACTGTACAGGAGACTAAATAATTCCAATGACAATAAATTCTACTGACCTTCAACTTCATTGTGTGGCCTTGGAATCAACATCGAAAGATATAGTAAGCTTGAATTCAATGTTGTTTTGAAATTGCATCTCTTGTTTCTTTCTTTCTATTCTTTTTGCAGATCTGACAGCTTTTCTTGTGTTTTCAAGCCTCATCTCTCGAAGGCTAGATATATAAGCGAACGTAGCCGGAACAGCCTCAAGTTTATCACAGTAAATAAGAACAAGGTGCCTAAGTCTTGGGAAATGATGAGTTGAAGCCTCCCATGTTTCAAAATCTGCTGTATCAATCGACAAGGCTAGGAGTTCGCTAAAACCTACCTCTAGCTTCCATGACTTTCCGGTGAAAGCGTCTTTCAACTTTAGAACCTCAAGGCATTCCAGCTGCTCCAGTCCAATTGCCTCACGCCAATCAAACCTTGTGTCCGATAAAGTTAACTTCTTTAGTGTACGAGCAAATCTGAAGAAATTTGGAGGAAGGTGAAGCACTGAAATCATTGTAAAGACATCATTCAATAGTTTCAAATTTTCCAGGCACTTCAACTCTCCATGATTGCTGAATCCATCCTTGTTAATTTCAAAAAAAGGGGCCATATTCCCTTTAATACTCAATTTTTTGAGATTACCAACCTTTGCAAGCACACAACTGTTTGCAACTTTCTGGTGCAACCATAGAAAGAGTTCGCAGGCAAGAAATTTCACCTTTTGGGGTTTTAGGTCTTGGCAATCATACAGGAACGTTACTGTGCAGATGCCTCAACCGTAACATGTTCCATATTTCCCATCTTGTTTCCAAGTAGCGCGTGCTTTTACTAGTTGTATTAAATAAAAGAGTTTGTAAATTCAGAAATCTACAAAATATTGGGGGAATGACCACAAAGTCACCTGAGAAAGCCATATACTTCAAATGATAAAGCCCATTAAAATATATGGAAAAAAGAAATTTGATGGGCTCAACATCCAAAACCCTTAAAAGTGGAAACGCTTTGTGCAAGAGATTCACTAGATTCGGAGACAACTGGGTTGGGGAAAAGCATAAGAAAGACCTGACATGTTCCGCGACTGGTTTTCTGGACAGGAAATCATCTAGACAACATGATCGGATACACAATCGACGAGAATCATCTGGAATTGCTTGATTGGGTGTTAGAGACACTTCATGAAAAAGACATTCTCTAGTAGCCTTCATCATGCAAAACTCTTGTACCATGTCATGAAGACGACATGTTTTTATTCGACCGTCAAACTTCTTCTGCACCACCATCACTAAATTTCTATTGACGAGCTCGTTCAAATTATTTTCTGCTACCTCCTCTAAGGCGTAACCTGGGCTGGATTTTATCAATCCCTCCGCAATCCAGAGACGGATCAATTTCCAAGCAGGGATATTAAAGCCTCGAGGAAAAGTTCCGCAATACAAGAAGCACTCCTTCATTTCTTGGGGCAAACAATTGTAGCTCATTTCAACAAACTTCCAGCATCTTACAGGGTCATCTTTAATTATAAGGTGCTGCCAAAAATATTTCTGAACTTTGAGCCAATTATTTTTGTCCTTACGACCTCTTAAAGCTCCTGCAATTACTATTATTGCAAGTGGTACCCCACAACATTTTTCTGCAATGCTTTCTCCAAGTTCTGTTAATTCTTCAGGAAAACATCCACTACCGAAAACTCTGCTTTTCAACAATAGAAAACTTTCCGTCTAAGTCAGAAATTTTAGATCATGAGGATTTGGATTGGCACAACTAGCCAAATCTTGCCTAGGAGTAGTCATCATGATCCGGTGTCCTTTGCTGTTTTCAGGGAAAGTTTTCTTGACAAAATCGACAACACCTATTGCCCAGACATCGTCCGAGACAATGAGACATTTACCTTCTTTAGGCACAAAATCACATACTACCTTAGCTATTTCATTCACATCTTTGTCTTGGTATTCTTCAATGCGATCTGTGAAACATGTGAGGATATTGATAAAGATATCCTTTATTTCATATGATTGGCAGACATAAACCCATATTCTGCAGTCAAATTGTTTTAAAATCTGAGGATCGTTAAAAACTTTTATTGCCAATGTTGTTTTACCAAGTCCACGCATACCTACAACAGGGACAACATTGAGATCCTCAGATCCTTCAACAAGTCCCTTGATCACTTTTTCTGCTTCTTCTTCTAAGCCAACAACTTCGTTTTCCTTGAGTGGAAGATCCTTTTAAGATAACAGAACTGATTGACATCATAAATCAATGTTGAAAATCTTTTGTTTTGGCAATTAGAAATAAAGCATCTATATTAAGTTATTACTTGCTTTCAGTGAAATAAAAAGCCTTAATTTTTGTTGTAAATTATATTAACCTTAGATGTCAATTACTCCTTGAAATATAACTTATTCATCTTTATTTCCATTACTCCCACAACACTTCATTTTCCATAGCCCCCCAAATGGTCAATGTTTATGACACCATTAACATTATGCCAGTGATGTCGCATTTGCGACAAAAAGTCTCACATTTGCGAGCCCTCTTTTGCAGTCCAAGGCTCGCATCTGTGGCTCCTTTGCATCTGCGGTGTCGCATCTGTGACTGTTAAAAAACTAGTGAATATGGTATCTCAAAAGGAAGTGTCCAGAATCATATTTTCTGAAAGTGTCTAGATTCATTTTATTAACATTTAGTGTCTTTATTATTTCATGCAATAATGAGACATTATTCCACATTTGTAACCGTTGGACCATTACTCACCCATCATGACCTCTTGATTTCCTTTACCTACATATGCACACATTCTTCCCTTTTGTGAGATACTAAGTATACAGAAAATACTCTCATTCCTTCTGCTGGATTTTCTACCAAGCTGAATAAATCTTTGTTAGTTTATGCTCCTAGTTTTATACTAGAAGAGCTTATTGAATCCTGGGGGATACACCCAAACCGGGTGAAATATCCTGAAGGACAGTGTCATTGACACGCCTCAAGCTTTGAAGAATTCCCTACAAATTTCGTGATCAAGTATTTTCCTTAAAGATTTTTTTTTTTTTTTTGGTAATTAGGAATTTTCATTAATCACCAATGAAACATTACAAGACCACAGTTGGCTTACATACTCAGCCTACTGTCTTTGAGCTGTATCTCTATCCCCTATACATGTACCTTCTATACTCATTTCCTCTCTACTTATATTTACATCAAAACTGAAAATTCTGTATAAGCTGCCTATTTTGATTTCTTGCTCTAACATTACATATGCATGCTATGTTTCTAGCTAAGTCTTCAGCCTTCTTGCTTTGCTTTTCAAATATCCTGAGATTTCTCTCATTCCATATCTCATGAAGTGCTTCTGCATATATCATTCTGAATATTCCCGCTTCCCTTGATTTTCCTCTTGCAATCTTAGTTGCCCAGTGCCAGTGCTGATCCCAGGATGTTGCCCACAGTTGTTGCCTCTGCATCCACTTTAGTAGCTTTGTCCAGACATTCATGGTATACTCACATTCAATAAAGAGGTGATTTCTGCTTTCATCTTGTTTTTGACATAGACTGCATACCTTGTCCACCTGTATCCCCCATTTACTCAATCGGTCACTAGTTAGCATCCTATCATGGAAGTATAGCCACATAGTGAATTTTGCTTTTGCCCTTGCTTCATTTCCATACATGAACATCTTCCATTCTACCCTTGGTAATTGTCCCATCATAGCCAAATATAACTGTCTGATCATGTTGCTATTCTGCTTTTGCTGGATGTGAATTGTTGTTACTGATCTTCTTGCCTCTCTTATTTTTCTAACTAGCCGGGATGCCTGTTGTGGTATTGGCATGTTTGATATCTGTTGCCCTTTTATATAGTATGCATGAATCCATTTAATCCACATCTTGTCCTCTTTATTTGCTAGATCCCAGTAATTCTTTGCTGCTACTGCTTTGTTCCATAGCTTCAGATTGATTAGGTTCAGTCCCCCAACACTTTTAGGAGTGCACATTTTTTCCCATGCCACCAAAGATCTTCTTGTGATAGTATTAACTCTTGACCATATATAGCTTCTGCAGTATGCCTCAATAGTCTTCAGTACCTTGCTAGGTATTAGAAACAATTGGGACCAATAAGCCTGAATACCAAATAGCACAGATTGTACTAGTTGAATTCTTCCAGCATATGAGAGTTTTTTTGCAGTCCATGAAGAGATTCTTGCCACCATCTTTTCAATAAGTGGCTGCCATTGAGCTATGGACATCTTCTTGGTGGTTAGGGGTACTCCAAGGTATTTGACTGGCAGTGTACCTTTAGAGTAACCAAATTTCTGGACTATCTCATCTCTTACCACCTGTGTAACTCCTCCAAAGAAAATTGAACTCTTTTCATGATTAGCCTTTAATCCTGAAGCTCCATAGAAATGTATTTTCCTTAAGATTTACAACAATCTTAAGGATATGTCACTTTAAAGACAGACGGTAATATCTTCTGCTTAATATGATTTTGCGTAATATCATATTTAAGTGTCAGGTGTGAATAATTGAACTAATATATATCTCTTCAACGTTTATTCTATCATGATTATTCTCGTGAGAGTCTAATAGGCAGATAAACTTTGGCTTTACGATGATATATATAATCTCCTCTAATTTTAGTACTGTTTCGGGCTATGCATTATTTGCTGTGGATTTGTAGTGTGTTATTATCTATGTGCATTTTGTATTGTGAAAGAGAATGCATGTTATCTCTTTAGTCTTATAAGTGATGCTTTTGTAGTTCTCTTTATCTTGAGTGTTTTAAATTTTCTCTCTTAACATTTTAAAGAGGAAATATGTTATTTATTTTGAGTAGTGGTAAAACATAATTTCCTAATACATCAATCTTTTACAGTTTACTTATCTTGCTAGAGATCATAAGTTGCCTATTGAGTTATTCTAAATCTGACTTTATCAAAATGATTATTATACATATATCTAAAAGAACTTATATAAGTATATTATTGTCGAATGCTTTTGTCCGCCCTTGACTCGCCGAAAATGGAAGAGCCTTAATAAATTTTTGATTCTTGTGGCGATAGTATATATTGGAGAACCAAAGTATATTTCATTTTGGTGGAAGTACTTTATGATCTAAAAATAATCTTTGCTTATCTCTTGGTCATTTGGGTGAATGTTGAATAATGATTGATTTTTCTTCGTATAACTATGAGTTACTATTTATTTGAGATCAAACTTTATTGGAAATAATAATTATTTTATGGGGGCACATTAAGCCATTATAAATTTCTCAATGTAGAGGAGGATTCGAGAGAATTGATAATCCTGCAAAGTCAAAAATAAATTTGAGTAAGTGGATGATATAATTGTTGTGGTCATTACTCAAGCGAATCTTATGGGAAATTGGGTGTTAGACTCTTGTGCTACTAAACATATTTGTACTAACAAAGTTATGTCATACGCCCAAGTTGAAGAACAAGAAGAATAATTTATTTATTTTGGTGATTCAAAAAATTCTTAAATTCTTGGAAAGGAAAAATTCTTCTTAAACTCATTCTGAAAAATATTGGCATTAGCTGGGTGATCCATAACTCTACTATTCGAGTCAATTTGCTTCTTGTGGAATTGTTAGAAAAAGTTGGAGTGAACATTTCTTTGATGATGAGGTTGCATCAAACAAAAAATAAGTTTTATGGGCAATGAGTATTTTAATTATTATTTATTTGTGTTCTTTATTAATTTTAGAATAAATATCGAAAATGCTAGTACTTGTACTTAGTTAAAAATAAGTGTTTATGATGACATAATGTTGGTAACTATACATCATTGTTTGAGTAAAACTATATTATAATCTTGTTATTTATAAAATGAAATGTCTTATATATGAGAAGTTGGTAATACTTATTATAAGTTATGAAAAATATTACCCTCTTATCTTATAAGTTTTGAAAATGTGGGGGTCACGGTATTTTACTTTGGGTTTCTTAAATATATGGGTGAAGAAATTGTTGAATTATGACCCGTTTCCTATTTAAGATATTTCTGTAGAAGTTAAAGTTGATTCTACTCTATCAATTTCATTCGATATTAATGTTGATTCTATGTTTAGAAAATTTTACTTTGGTATTTGAATATGAAAGATATCAAAAGAAAATAAATTCTAATATGTGTTGAATATTTCAAAAGACACTTGTATGGAAGTCAAGTTTCTTTTCATTTGAGATGATTTTATACTTTAGTTGAAAAGTACTATGAGTTAGTATTCTGTATGTGGATTTCCACTGTATTAGAAAGATATAGTAATGATATTGAATCTCTGATTCAGATGAATAAAAACTCACTAATGGTTATTTGAACACCTTTTGATGGAGTGTTGTGGTATAGAAATTGCCTGGCAATGAGGTTGATTAAGCAACCTCTTGGTGAGTATTCCACGAGGAATTAAACCGACAATATTTGTGTCGATGAATTGTGATTGCCAAGGCGCAATATTCCACTCGGAATTAAACCGACAACATTTGTGTCGATGAATTGTGATTGCCTAGGAACAATAGCCATTATAAGAAAAAAAAAAATCTTTTAGTGGGAAGAATAGACACATTTTCTTAAAATTTAATGTGATAAAGCAATTGCTTAGAGATGAGAATTTTTTTTTCATACATATAATGTGTAGTCAAAAGAGGATTTGGCCGATTCTTTAACTTATAAGTGAAATGTTGAGGGGTTGAGACTTTTGCCAATCTGAGATATATCAACGATGATGGTAACCCAACCTAAGTGATTGAAGATCCCATGAAGTAGGTTCATATGGGTAATCACAAATCATTAGCTGATCAAATGTGTACTATAAGTTATGTCTCTTCCTATGGTGTGAGTTTATAGTGCAAGACTGCAAGGAATGTGAGGCTGAGTTATCAAACTCTTAATCCAATAATCCATAGCCTTTTATAGGTAATGTATTGCGATGCAGAATACACTTGATGGATGGACCTATATGAGTATGGAGGTGGGCCGCTCCTATGAAATTTGAGGCAAAATTTCTAGAGCACTCATGAAAATCAGGCGCGCGCATGGCCTTCAAGCGCAAAACTGCGATAACAACAAAGATTGTGCGAGTATAATGTAATAGATAAGACTCCGGACTTACAAAAGAATTTTTGGTTCATTAAAGCATTAAACTTCACCAGTTATTCTTAAGCTTTATCTTATTTTTCTAGGTCTGGTTCATACTTCATAGTCTACGAGACACCAGATTCGATGCATTGTACTCATATGCAGAAAATCCAACAAAATATTCTATCCTTCTATTCATTTTGAGATACGTGGGGGATTGTTAGAAAAATAGTGAATATGGTATCTCAAAAGGAAGTGTCCAGAATCATATTTCTGAAAGTGTCTAGATTCATTTTATAACATTTAGTGTCTTTATTATTTCATGCAATAATGAGACATTATTCCACATTTGTAACAGTTGGACCATTATTCACCCATCATGACCTCTTGATTTCCTTTCACATATTCTTCCCTTTTGTGAGATACTAAGTATACAAAAAATACTCTCATTCCTTCTGCTGGATTTTCTACCAAGCTGAATAAATCTTTGTTAGTTTATGCTCCTAGTTTTATATTAGAATAGCTTGTTGAATGCTGGGGATACACCCAAATCGGGTGAAATATCCTTAAAGACAATGTCATTGACATGCCTCAAGCTTTGAAGAATTCCGTACAAATTTCGTGATCAAGTATTTTCCGTAAGATTTACAACAGTGACTCCACAGATGCATCAACTTATAATTTTTCAAATGGGTTAGGTTTCAGCTTTAATTTGAGGCATACCTGGGAATTTTTTTCCGGCTGAACAGCTGGTTGATTGTTTTGAAGAAATTCCTTCACCTTCTCATTGAGGCCATCGATCTTAGTTGCAAGATTCCTGACTGAGTCTCTTCTTATACTATCAAGTTTGAGAAGTCCATAGTTTTTCACAAGGAAAAACTGAGCCCTAAAAGCGAAGCCATCAATTACATCCTCAGCTCTATGTACCGTAATTCGAATGTCCTTATTGACCAACTGTTTTCACTTACTGCTAGTATTTATCTGCCATTGTTCAGCAATATTTAGGAGCGCTCGTAGGCGTTGAACTTGTTCCTCAAGATGTAAAAAGTCATCCCCTAAACCATCAATCTGCAGCTTCTTATTGTCTGCAATCAACTTCGCGTTTTCTCTTACTGAATCCAAGAGATTCTCCACCAGAAGATTCAACCCTGTATCTGTATCTGCCATCTGCTTTTAATTAAATGGAGAGCATACTTTCTTTAGCTCTGGGCAATGAAACTTCACTTTACCATAGCTGTTTGTTTATAAAGATTAACGTATTGTTTGGATGGCTCTTTCCCGTTGTATTGTATTGTATTATTAACCCAAATACAATGTTTGTTTTGATTGTTAATATAAAATTAATTGTATCGTATTATTGAATCCATTGTTCCGGAATAATGAAAAACCCTATTTTATGAAACAACCAAATCGGTATGGTGGAATTGTTCCGTATTTTTCTTTCCAATTACACCACACTTATTATTCTATATTTTACCCTTTGCCCTATTATTTATATTATATTCATCAAACTAATAAGTATTTTGTCTCCCTCTTATTTCTGTGGTGCAACTACTCAACTACGTACTTCCCTGGTCACTTCGTCTTTTTACGACAAGAGTTTTCACATGTTAGTTTTCCATCTAATTTCAAAAAATCTAAAATAATTTCTGTAGTGACATTTGGTTGAAAATTAGTTTTTCTAAATATCTATTCAATTTCTTTTGCTTAATCAAGATCCGTAACGTGGCTTCTCCATAACTTATTAATAACACTTTTTCTCAAACAATACGTTAGTTTTCCATCTCTTTTTTTGTGTATTTTTTTTTTTGGTTAGTTCATCTATAATCTTTGCAAACTCTATGTTCTGGTGATATAATTTATCAAGTTATTTTTATGAGTAATTCTTAATAAGCATCGTATTTATAATAATTGAGGGTATTTTAGTAAACTTTTCAGTACAGTATAATACAATACAGTCAAACCAAATAATAAAGATGTTATTTAACAACAACAAACGATACAGTCTATTCAAACGTTGTATCTATCAAAACGATACAATATAATACAATACAATACATTATAAAACGATGGGGAACAATGATCCAAACACAGTGTAAAGAATGCAGGGTATGGATTGTTAATATTTTCCTACTATTTCTCTTTTTTTTAAAAAAAATTATTTAAGTAAATAGCTAATTAGCTTTTAATACCGAAAAGCTTGTCTAAGTGTTAAAGTTGGTTTTTAAAATAAGTATCCACATAAATTGATAATAAGCGGTTGATGTATTTAAAGGAAACATATATTAAAATGGTTACAGCTAGTGGTGGATTTCTGACCTTAATTAAAGAATGATTAATGACTTTGGCGTGATACTTGAGGAAAGTTGAGTGATTCATACTTTTTCTAGTTCATATATTTTTTTTAAAAGGTTGTATCAGTTGTCTGATCTTAAGGTTGTGTCATTTGTCTGATCTGTGGTTCAACTGCCCTTCTTTCTTCACTGTCAAATTCACAACAGTTCTGATAAGAAAAAGGAAAAGAGATGTTTCCCCTTGAGGCGCAAAGGATCGAATCGAGTTCCTTGAAAGGGAGTTGAAATTCCTGGATATTTTCCTCAATTTGCAGAGCTCCAAAGCTAAATGTGATACTTTGGATGTCACACAAAAAGCACAAACTCTACTTCACGATACTCGAGTTGCTCTTTCCTCTCTTAATTTGACTTCTCCAAATTTTTATCCGTCCATCTATCAGATGGAAGACGACATTTGTTTGATCAAGTCGGAGATCAGAGCCAATTACTCCTTTCCGAAAATATCATTGCCACTTTCAACCAGCAAGAATGGTGTTGCTATTTCTGAAATTGTACGTGAATTCATGGGCACTGTTGTGTGTATTCTCAGTGATTTACTGAATTTTCATGATGGCCGTTCTGTACTTTTTGTTCCAGGACCCAAGGAACAAATAATAGAGGTTTTAGAAGAGTTGAAGTCTCTGAGAGCTTTTGTCTGCTTTGTTGCAAAGAGATGCGGCAAAGAGCCTCAGAGTTGCCATCATGATTTCTTCACTCATATTTTTGTTGTGGCTGGCCATGCAGCCATGCTTGTATGGTTGAGTTTACCAGGCACTGACAATGGAACTCAAGACTTGGCTTCTGGTGAAATGAATGCTTTGCTTTCTGATCACCTACGAATGAGGATTAAGCCTATTGAGCCAAGTATCTGCAAGATCTACGTTGATGTTCTGCAAGCTTTAAAGTCAACATCACAATCAGGATGGCGTCCCGATATCCAAAATGAGAATACAACAAACATTGAAGCTGGCTTTTTGGAGACTGTCCTGCACAACTTGGTAGAGCTGCCAGCAATTGGTAACTCTACAGTTGCTTTGAAAGATGAAACAGAAAACCTTCAGGAGATGCTCAACCTCTTGCGAGCCAATCTCCCCTATATGCCGATGCAACATCTTGAATCTCATTTTGAAGATCTCCACCTTGTGATTATTGATGCTGGAATTCTAGTTTACTCGTTATATGATGTTGCATCGGCCAAAGTGAACCAAGCAGTGCTTGATTTTCCCGGAAACATTCAGCATTTCAACACTGTGATTTATCCCATTGTTCAGAAGGTATTCCAATCTAATTTGCCACGTATTCATGGAATAGGCTATGTTGATTTCCTTTTAAGCAGCCTGAATGAGTTTCAAGGTCATTATTCAAAGTCACTTGTTTCTATCAAGAACCAACTTCAAATAATTCAGAAGGAACTTGAGAGCGTGCAACCTTTTCTCAAGGATGTTGCAAAAGAGCGACATAAGCACCACGAAATTCAACATTTGGCTCAGTTAGTGATTGGCACAGCATATGAAGTGGAATATATAGCCGATTCTTTTATCAGCAAAGAAGTTCCCGAGTGGTGTCTTGAGCGTTGGCTCGTTGATATCATAGAGGAAATTAAACTTAACAGTGCAAAAATAGATATTCAATTGAAGAAAACACCTGCAGTTGACATAGATGCAGCCGCTGCTCATACATCATCAGAATCTACGTCCCCAAAGAATGAAGAAATCGTGGGCTTTGATCATATCGTTCCAGAATTAAGAAAGAAGCTAACTAAAGGATCCCAACAGCTAGACGTCATCTCGATTGTCGGCATGGGCGGACAAGGTAAGACGGCATTGGCCAACAAACTCTTTAATGATGACTCAGTTAAATCTCGATTTGATATTCGGGCACAATGTTGCGTATCGCAAGAGTATTCCTGTAGGTCCATTTTATTGGCCATTTTACGTGATCTTTCTTGTGATGACCCTGCTACTAGTGAATTGTCCACTGAAGATCTACGAGATAAGCTTCAAAAAATTTGTAAAGTGAGAAGATATCTCATCCTTATCGATGACATATGGGAAGCTAGTGTGTGGGAAGATTTACAGCCTTGCTTTGCGGATGTTAATAACGGAAGTCGAATTATTCTAACAACACGACAAGTTGAAGTTGCCAACTCAGCTAGAATTTCTTGTGAGCCCTTTCATCTTCCTATGTTTAAGGAAGATGAAAGTTGGAAATTGCTGAAAGAGAAAGTGTTTGGTAAAGAAGGATGCTCTCCTGATCTTGAAAAAGTTGGGCTAGAAATAGCAAAGAAGTGCGCAGGGCTGCCTCTTTCAATTGTTTTGGTGGCTGGTATTCTTGCAAAGGAAAAGAATGAACGATATTGGAGACAAGTCACTAAGAATTTAGGTTCCCACATTCAAAGTGACACAAAGGCTATAATAGAGCACAGTTATAAACATTTACCCCATCATTTAAAGCTTTGCTTCCTTTATTTTGGAGTAATTTCAGAAGACAAAACGATCAATGTTTCAGACTTGACATGCTTGTGGATCGCAGAAGGATTCATAAAAATTGATAAAGAGAAGAGTTTGGAGGATGTAGCATCAGATTACTTGGAGAATCTTATTGGACGAAATCTAGTGAAAATTGCAAAAAGGAGTATTGATGGCAAGGTCAAAGCATGCCAGATCCATGATCTATTGCTTGATTTCTGCAAGGAAACAGCTGAGCAGGAAAAGCTTCTACTCTGCATAGATAGGTAAAACTGTAATTTTCTAGTTCTTTGTTTGTTCAATCAATCAAGTATTCCAATTATATTTGAAATTTAATCTTATGCTAATTTGATGTTCACAGGTACCAAAGTGCCAATCCTCCACCTGGCATCTACTCACACCGGCAGCTAGCTCAACGTCGCCTGTCCATTTATGCTAACAAGAATGGTCTTGCAAAATGGAGTTCGTCTTGCTCACTTGTTGATTCTGTACTTTGCAGGGATCATATCATAGAAAACCTCTCTCCAACCTCGCGCATCTTTCAGAAATTCAAGTTTCTAAAAGTGTTGGATCTGAAGTTCATCATTGTTGATTCTTTCCCAACAGAGCTGTTTTATTTGAGGTATTTTGCAGTACGAACTGCGAAGAAGTCAATTACATCATGCATAAGTAATCTATGGAACCTTGGGACTTTGATAGTCAAAGGGGAAGGGACAGACTTGTCACTACCGTTTACACTCTGGAAGATGTCTAAATTGAGAACTCTGCATATTTGTGACAATGCTTATTTCACCATTAGTGGTGCAGCAGAAGAATCACTTGAGAACTCCAATCTTGACAATTTGGAGACTCTTTCCTGTCCATGTTTTTCTTGTGCGGAGGATGCAGAATTTGTATTGGGAAAGACGCCAAATATTCGGAATCTGAGATGCTCAATTAAGTATCCTGAAGGAAACTTTTGGGTCCTTCAATTGGAATTTCTAACACAGCTTAAGACGCTCAAGGTTCATTTTGACGTGCATTCAGCCATAGCTGGTGCTTGCATCTTCCCCTCAAGTCTCAACAAATTGACTTTGTACACCATTTCCTGGGGCACTGGTTCAGAGATTGCTATGCTTCCCAATCTTCAGGTACTTAAACTGGTAAATGTTGAGTTTGATAAAGGCGAATGGACAGTGAACGACAATGAGTTCCCTAAACTCAAAGTCTTGAAAGTAGTAAACTCTGATAATTTTAAGGAGTGGAATGTCTTGGATGATGCCTTTCCTTGTCTTGAACATTTGGCATTGCATAAATGCCAATATCTTAAGGAGATCCCCTCTTGGTTCGCGGAAATCGCTTCTCTCAAGTTTGTTAGGGTAAGGTCTTGCAATGAAGCTCTTGTTGCTTCAGTCAAGGAGATCAGGACAATGCAAGTTGAAGATTACCAAAGATCTGAATTCCAGATCTTCGTTGACTAGTAGAATATGGATTGTTTATCAGGTACACTACCGGAAAAATGCACCTACCGCTAAATTCCTTACTTATATTCTAATATCTTGCTTATACTTTGTTTGACAACTTTTCTTGAGCGTTTATAATTTATTTATCTATTGGGGGTTACTGTTATATCTTTAACTTGGAAGGGCTATCAATATTTAAAAAAAGTAAAAAAAAAAAAAAAAATCATCAATAAAAATCGATTAACTTATCAAAATCACTATTCCTTCCTACTATATAGAAGAGCGCAGAAGCAACTCTCCATCAGACATTCGTGCTTGCCGAAGGAGGGCAATTTGATATTTGCAGTGCTCTTATATTAGGTAAAATTACTGTTCTGTCCCTGAACTAGCTAATTTGTGTTTTTCAGGGAAAGACTATTTACATAATTTTGCACTCCGCTGCCACCGCTTTATTTTGCTCTGCCCTACGTCTCTCTATCTTATTCTCTGGTTTCCTTCTCTCTTCAGTGCATTTTTTTTTATCTACTCCATTTTCTCAGCTACTTCTTCCACAGGTGTGTTGAATTTGTTATGTCAGCTTATTTGGCAAATTTTTGGGTTCCTTGCTTGTTTGGTTTCGTTTCCCTTGTTGCCGTGTATAAGGTTGCAAAAGATTTGACGAATATATAGTTCAATAAAAACTAACATATCTTACATTCTAAACTATAAGTTTTAACAGATTAGACCAATGTACTCTATTCATCTTCTAAAGTTTATTTTGTTAAAGCTAAGTTGAAGTCAAGTGAGGCAAAAAATTTGTACAGATTTTAGTAGAATTTAACAGATAACATTCAAGGTTATTTGTATTCTTTCTTCTTTAAGGTTCAGCTTGATTTGACTGCTCAATTTTGTCCCTATGAATTAAACGGCATAGTTGATCAATAAATCAAAAAGTAAATATGTTTTATTTTGAAAATAAAATCAAATACAAAAGATGTAAATTAATCAAATTGAGACCTGATAAAGGAATATGCTGTAGCATCACAGTAAATATATTGACCGTGTAAAAACATTTCGTGTAGTTTACCTGGTTATTCATTAAGTTATTTTCAAAGTTATTTTGATGATAAGCTCGGTGAAAGATTTTGTTATTCTTGGCTATTAGTACTATTTATTTCAACTTGTGAACAACAAGTTGAAAGGAAGAACCTTGGGACAAAAAAGATTTTATTATCCAAGTTTCATGGTATTCCTGTAACTTAAGCAATTCTCACACTACAATCTATCGTAGCATATACTTCTATAACGTAGCAGATCCGCGATCATGTAGGTGAACCACGATTATAGTGGTTTTGTTAACGGTTTTACTTCCTAAGAGTGAGACACATTAGCAAATTAGGTTGGACATTCTGTTTAGTGTTCGAAGATTGATGAAGGCTGCGACCCATTAGTAAATTTGTCAATGTTACCTTGGGACAAAATACAAATTACAGAGAGCGATAGAAAGTTTTAAGGAGATGTATGAACGGCTAGTGGCATCAGCCATCATGTAATATGGTGGTAGTAATTTAGAAAAGGAAAAACTAAGCTGTGCTCTTTCTCTTTTTTTTTTTTTTTTGGGTTGTAGAAGTAACCTAGGAGATATCAAAAAGGGAGCTTTTGGATCGTAAAATTCATACTTCGTAGACTGCAAGAGTAAAACAACAAAATTATGCTTAGCACGAGCATGAAGTCGTCTAACATGAGTTTCAGAGAAAATGAACCACTAATCAATGGGCTATGATGTCAATTGTCATGTCTAATATTCAATTGTTATTTCTATTGATGAGGGCTTAATCTTTTACTTTTTTTTTTACTTAGAGCCACTTTCATCAACATTTAGTACTTAGCGCCTTATGTTGTTCAAAAATTGATACGGGTATATAATAATGCAAGAGTTTCTTTGTTGAAACAGAAAATTCAAGGTTTCTATGTCTTTATCATCCTTTTTATCTTTTTCCCAAGCCATCTCACTTCAGATTACAGAATTTGTGCAGTGATTGAAAATGGATTGCGTAAGAATCTCTGTTTAAGGAGATCTCCTGAAATATTAAATGTTGCAATGATTGAAGTTAAAAATACGATTCTAATGGTATCTCAGCTTGAGAAGTCTACAGAGTGTGTCTATATTCAACTCTGTCAAAGAAAACTGACTGTAGTAAAGTGTCTTCTCTATGATCACAACGTGATGGCAGATCATGTTAATTCTTACGTCAAGAAACCATTTTTTTTAACTCCGTACATGTTTGAGTTATACAGCTGATCTCAAGCCTGGAAAAAGGAGCATTCGTTGTCTTCTCAATATTTTACTCATAATGAACTTGTTCTTCTCTGTTATAATAAACCTGTAATGTTAAATAATTTTTTATAGCTAGCTAGATAGAGAGGGAGAGGGAGAGAGAGTGTGTTGTTCTGCCTATTGGATCTCCTTAAAGTCGGATACCTTGCAATTGCGGATAATAAAGTCGAAACTCTAGATGGACTATGTTTGGAGATAAGGTCCTGATAAATTTGTTGAGTTGTCTTTTTATGTGATTGTCTATCTTCTTGCACTCTTTGTGCTGGACTTTAAGTTATTGGGCTTTAAAGTAGAAGAAGTGTGAATTGGAAATGGAGGGAAATTGAAAATTTGAAGAAGTGAACTTTTGTCTTGCACTTTGTCCCTCATTGGTGAGGGACAACCACATTTGTGTGCTTATATATAGAATCACTTCTTAAAGCTCTTAAAAGGAGTTGAAGAGAATGAACCCTCGCGCCGTCGTCGTCGCTCGGCTCGGCTTCGGCTTAATTACAAAATTTATTTAATTATTTAATAATTAATTAAATGCCAAATCACTGCTGAAAATACGCCAGAACCCTGTTGAAGGTTCAGAGGGCCTCTCTGGCTGCGGTTCTGCTGCGACCACGGTAGGCAGGTTCAGAAAGCCTCTCTGACCGCGGTTCTGCCGCGACCGCGGTAGAACCGCGGCAGGCAGCGTATTCTTCTGAAAAGGCACCTTTTCCAGACACCTCTTCTGATAATTGCCTATAAATTCTAAGGCAATGCTCCATTTTCTAAACACGAATAATACTCCAGAACTTCTTTCTTTCTGAATATACTGCATCCTAATTCGCAGTCTCTCTCTCTCAAATTCGTAAGTATGATTTTGCTCCGTTCTTTGAGTTCGTTGGTATCCTGCAGTTTGTATTTCCAGTGTTGGAGGAAGGTTTATTTTGTTTTATCCTGGGAGGATTTAATCCATTACCTTGGCAACGTGTGAGGGGGTTAAAATTCCTTAAGGACACACAAGAAAATTGTAGACTCGGAATATTTCTTAAACTCTTCTGTTTTTCCAGTTTCTTTTATTTTTCTAATAGTTTTTTTTTCTGATTTTGTGTTTTAACACAGTAGCGCTCACAAGCTTAAGGAATTTTCAACTAATGTTTCTGTGTTGAAACATATATTAAATTGTTATTCATATTTTGTATACTGTTTTGGAAACTAAAGCCTTCGTGCTTTCTACTCCAATAATTGTTCTGTCCGGTTTAAAGTATATAAAAACTTTACCGGAATAATAAACGTACGGGTTTGAAGTATATAAAAACTTCATCATTGTTATGTATTGTATGTTTGGTTTGGTATTCAATTTGGAGATATCAAAACTTCACTGATTTAATAAAGTTCTGTTGTGTTTCCAACTCTACAGAAAAGATAACGAACGAAAACCAAACTAATGGAAATGTTGTGGGAACGGGAGCTACTGTTACGAGTGCTGCTGCTTCGTCAAGCCGTTCTACTCCTGCTCATGCTATGGCACCAGCAGAAAAACACGGAAAGTTTTCCGGAATAAAGAAGGCTTCTGGACCAAAGAATTACCCAAGCAAGAAAAAGTTCAAGGGTAATTGCCACAACTGTGAAAAATCTGGGCATAAGGTCGTGGACTGTCGTGCACCAAAGAATGATGTACAAAAGAAAAAGAAGAAGAAAAATCAAGCAAACATGGTTGAAAATGTTGAAGACATGGAGGACTTGTGTGTCATGTTGTCTGAATGCAACTTGGTAGGAAATCCTAAAGAATGGTGGATAGATTCTGGAGCCACCCGCCATGTTTGTGCTAACAAGGAGTTATTTTTTTCTTATGCCCCCGCAGGACCCGACAAGACAATTTTCATGGAAAATTCGTCTACAGCCAAAATTGAAGGAGTTGGCAAGATTGCGTTGAAGATGACGTCGGGAAAAATAGTGACTCTAAACCAAGTTCTCCATGTTCCAGAAATTCGCAAGAATCTTGTGTCGACTTCACTTCTTGTCAAGAATGGATTCAAATGTATTTTTGTTTCCAATAGTGTTGTACTAAGTAAGAATGATATGTATGTAGGAAAAGGTTACTTGAATGAGGGCCTTTTTAAGCTAAATGTAATAGCAGTTCCTATCCATAAAGTGAATGCTTCTTCTTACTTACTTGAGTCAAACACTTTATGGCATTCGCGTTTAGGACACGTCAACTTCAAAACATTGCGAAAGATGATAAATTTAGAAGTATTGCCAAAATTTGATTGCATTAATTCCAAATGTCAAATATGCATGGAGTCAAAGTATGCTAAGCATCCTTATAAGTCCGTTGAAAGGAATTCAAGTCCTTTAGACTTAATTCACACAGATATTTGTGACATGAAGTCAACACCATCTCGCGGTGGGAAAAAGTATTTCATCACTTTTATTGACGATAGCACGAGATATTGCTATGTGTATTTACTTAATAGTAAAGATGAGGCAATTGATGCTTTTAAGCAATACAAGAGTGAAGTTGAAACACAACTAAACAAAAAGATCAAAATGATAAGAAGTGATAGGGGTGGGGAATATGAATCTCCTTTTGAAGAAATATGTTTGGAAAATGGCATTATTCACCAAACAACTGCCCCTTACTCTCCACAATCTAACGGAATTGCGGAGAGAAAGAATCGAACATTGAAGGAGATGATGAATGCATTGCTAATAAGTTCTGGCTTACCACAAAACTTGTGGGGGGAAGCTATACTTACAGCTAACCGAATAATCAACCGTGTACCTCATAGTAAAACACAGTCCATTCCTTATGAAAAGTGGAAAGGAAGGAAGCCCAGCTTGAAATACTTCAAAGTGTGGGGGTGTCTAGCTAAGGTACAAGTTCCTAAACCTAAAAGGGTTAAGATAGGTCCAAAAACGGTTGATTGTGTATTTATTGGATATGTAACCAATAGCAAGGCATATCGTTTTCTGGTTCATAAGTCAGAAAATCCGAAGATTCACGTTAATACGATAATAGAATCAGATAATGCTGAATTCTTTGAAACTATTTATCTGTATAAAAAGGAAAGTGAAGTGACATCCAAAAGTCAAACGACCTCGGAGGAAATA